GACCCAGCATTGTTGTCCAGCCAAGGAGAATGATGTTATAAAAGAAGCACAGTGAGCAGACATAAAGTGCCTGCTAGCTGTCAGGCACCAGGGTTACCTCAGCTGGCATGAAAGGAAGGGATCCTTCTTGTGCCCATTGCGTAGATGGAGAAGCTGAGATGGAAGGCATCACACTTGTGCCCCAGGTTACACAGCCAGCAGCAGGACCCACAGCAGCATCTTTTGATAGCATGGTGACCCCAGCTGTCACCCAAAGCGCTAGAACAGAACTGCCAATTCTTTCTTCCTCCCCCAGCAATTAAGACCATTTCTTTATCTCAAAAGGAATTCAGGCTCCTCCAGTTTCTTCCTCCTTTCAGCTCCACACAGAAGTTAAGGCTGAAGTAATGCGTATCCCTGCCTTTTCCCCAGGTTGCGTTTTGACCAGCTAGATGCTCCCAGGCAGGTCCACGTGGCTGTGGGGGTCCTGGCTCAGACTGGGCCCCAGAGCTGGGTCATTCTAGCCCTGAGAGTTTTGTTTTTTTCAATCTCCAAAGTCCCAGAAAGTCAGTGGGACACCAAACCTAGCTCAGACCCAGCCTTCCACCGGGGAAGCAGGAAGCCAACGTGACACAGCCAAGTACTACCAGTGGGCACTGCCCAGGTGGAGGCCAGGTGCCCAGGTGTTGCTCCCAGCCAGGGACCAGCACTGGCCCTTTCTGCCTGGAGCAGACATGCACCAGGAGGAGCCCCCTCGGGCTGTCTGCCTTGCCACAGAGGACAGCAGGGAAATGGAAGTGGTCATGTATGCGGGGTTTCACTATAAAACTCCTAGGGCATTTGCTCGAACTTCCCACGATAAATTGTTGGCCTGGAGACCTCAGGGGCTTAGCCAGAGGGAGTCCCTTCCCTGTTCCCCTTCCCTGAAACCTTGCCTTCAAACCCTAGGGCATCTGTAACCTTTGCTATTTGCACATCTTCACTAACCATTTGCCTTTTCTCAATCTAACTTCAGAGTCTGCTTTCCCTGTGCCAGTACCCCATCCTGACCGGACAGAAGGGCCACCCCCAGGCCTGGCCTACTTGGGGGAGCTCGGCCTTGGTCTAAAAGGAGTGAACTCAAGGTCTTACCCTCCTCACAGGGCCCACACCCGGAAGCTGGAGGGGTCTTCACAGTGTCACTGTTAATATGAGCCGGGGGAAAAAGAGGCTGCTGCTTCCTGGGTCCTCATGGTGACATCAGGACCTCGGGGTGCAGCCATCCACCCATGCACCTCCTCATGCCCTCCTTCAGCCATCTGTTAGCATCTTCTCTGCACCAGGCAGGGTGGGGCACTCTGGAGATCCCAGATGAGCAGTCCCAGACCCATGGCTCAGCCAGGCCATGAGTGTCCCAGACAGGAGAGGCCTTGGGGAGAAGGAAGTCCTGTGAGCGCCAGAACAGGGGGGCCCGACACCCACACCAACACTGGCCAGGCCAAGCCTGAGACCCCAACAGGCCCTTCCCCCAAACCCTGAGTCCGTCTGTTCCCAGAGCTGACCGCAGCGAGCAGTGTCACACCAGTCCCCAGCATTGAGGCTGCAGGTCTACGTTCTACCCTAGTAGAGAAAAGGCAGGGCCAGGAGCTCACCCAGAAGGTGCAGAAAGACAGGAGGCCTGGGACCTGCCCTCAACCTCTGTCCAGATGGTCAGGGAGGACCCAGAACACACATTCTCTCTCATTCATCTCTCATTCTTATTCTCCAGATAGATAGACGATAGGAGATAGATAGATGATAGATAGATGCTATAGACGGTGGATGACAGAGGGGAGTGTGTATGTGTGCACATGTGTATCTACCCATGCATCATGGAGCTCACAGTGCAAGTGTCAGGAGGCAGAGAAACACTTGCCCCTAGCCACCCTCTGGGCCACCGCAGAGCCGACCCCAGGCCAGACCCTATTCCTAGGCTTTCCCTACCCTGGAGCTCCTGCCTGCCTTGGGAGCTCTGTGTGTGACACAGAGGACAGCAGCAGGATGCAGCACAAGGGCAAGAGCACCTAAGAGCCATGGGCTGTGGCCCCAGACCCCAATCCTAGAGACTCCCCATGTCCACCCCCTCCAGGCTCTGGCCCCTCTGTGAGGTGGGGCTCACATCTCCTCCACCTGGCAGCTGGGTCCTCCTCCCCTGGTACTGACCACACCTGCACCCAGCAGGCACAGCCAGGCACCAGGAGTCAGCCACCTGCCCCCAGCGCACACATCACTCCCTCGTTTTTTAGAGCTATTTCTGCACATACGTTTGTGAACCTGGTATTTCCATTCAGCCCCTTCCAGATCTCTAGCCTTCCTTTTTCTTAGCATCTCACCCTTTGCCCCATACGTGTGGGCTTAATCTTTCCAGTGGATCTGTACAGTGTCCTTCATCTGTGTGCCCCCCATCTGTTTCTGTGCCCATCTCTCCACTGATTCCCATGCAGGTGCAGTCTCTTCCCGATGGCCCAGAGTCAGACTCCGAGATGACTCACAATCCCTGGGTACAAGGGGTCTCCCTTCAGCAGACACTGATGATCCATAGCAGCGTGATTGTATAAGCCAGGTGTCGGGAAGGGGTCACAGTGTGAAGGGAGCAGGCCACTCTCAAGTCCCTCAAGCACTGCTGTGCTGCTGGGGCCTCCTGGAAAAGCCACAGCACCCGGGCAGGAACAGCCCCATCTCTGGCTGCCACTGTGCTGTTCCCAGGAAGGGGACCTGGGACACCACCATGTCTTGTCTGGCTTTCCCCACAAAATTGGGAGGTGTGCTTAGCTCCAGGATAGCTGTGTTGTCCTCCACTTCCCACAAGCTGCCCTGGGCCCAGCCCTGAAGATGCTTCGATGTCACTGGCCTCTGTGGCCTGCTGGTCGTGATACAGGGACAGCTCTGCTCACCCCTCTACCAGCTACCACTTTCTGCCTAACTGCACCCTGCTGGTCCCTCAAGGTCAAGGTATCCAAGGGATGACAGAGCCAGGACACCTGCTAGGGATGGTGGTGACGGGGGAGCAAGGCCACAGAGGTGGAGTGCACATGGGGATAACCTGGCATCTAACTGTGGGGTGGAAAAGGGAACAAAGTCTCAGAAGCCTTCAGCCTCTTCCCACTGTGGCCTGAGGGGAGAGAGCTGGGTGTCATCTCGGGCATCCCAATCCAAGGACAGAGGCCCATGAGGCTGGGTTGGGCTGGCTGGCTTCTCTGAGGCCAAGTTCCCGTGGGTAAGGGTACAGGGGATGCAGGAGCTGTTGCTTCCCCTATGTCAGGAATGATGCCAAGAGGCTTCCCGGAGAGAGGCCTCGGCCACACCCTCACACCATGCTGCTCTAGAGGCTGCACTGCACCTCCAAGCCCAGCAACCCCCCTGGGCCTTGTTTCTGAGTCAGGATTGAGTCTCTCCTCCTGCACCTCCTGGAGGTAGGACCACACTTTTCTCATCTTTGCTCCCAGTAAAGCCCAGGGCTAGTGTAGATGGTCGGTGCCCAGGAACCTTTGCTTTCCAGCTGTGTTGCTTTAAGCAAGTGGTTCGGCTTCCCTGAGTTTCAGGATCATCGCCTGTAAATCAGACAATACCTGTACCTCGGGGTGGGTGTGAGGGAAAACATCATGCTTTTGTCACCTCCCAGGGATGAGGAAGGTGCTAGGTAGCCACCTGCAGCTCTGTTTTAACCTGCTCCGTCCACGGTGGCCCGCACCATCAGACCCACTGAGTTCATTTATTTGAGACTGTAGCTGACATTTCATTTACAGCCTCAGTTACCTGTTTCCTAGGAAACAGGAACACAGTCTCTGCAGTGAGTGCCACACACACAGAAACACACACATGTGCACACACATACACACACAGAAACATACCCCGGCTACCACCTAGAATGGCAATTAACAGAAACAGTGAATACGAGCAGAAGCTCACCTTAGCTCACACACTGCAACTTGTGCTGCTGCTCCTGCCAGCTCAACCTCAAGGGATGAGGGCCGGGCACCCTTTCTGGCATGGTGCCACTCTGGGCCTGGCCCTGGTCACCCTCCAAAAGGCAGGCCAAGGACCCCTCTCTGCACCCGTGCTGCCTGTTCTCTCTCTCTGCCCTCTCCTAGCTCCCCTCCCTTCCCAAGCTGCGCCCCAGCCCAATGGACCCCAGTCTATGACACCCCCGCCCTCCTTGTGCTCAAACCAGAACCCAAGACATCGTCCTCAATGCTCCCTCTCCCGCTGGCACCCTGCACTTGGCCTGTGCTCCTCCTGGACCAGCTGCCCTGAATGTACCAGATGCACACAGCACTGCCTGATCTCCCAGCCAACTAGAACAGAATAGAGCCTGTCCTCCAGGAAGCCCTGTGTGATTTCTCTGGCTAAATCATGGTGGCTTTCTCTATGCCCTGTGGCCTGTTTTCTTAGCTCCATTACAGTAGAGATCACACTGCATTAATTATAGCAAACACTTACATGTGCTTACTAAGTGTCAAGCATTGTTCAAACAGCTTTATGGGGATTTAACTCACATAACAATACTTCATCTACCTGACAGCTGCCTGGGACCTCCAGGGGACATCGGCCCAGCTCTAAGTCATCGGTCACCTGCACCCAGCACAGAGGCCTCCGTAGGGGCTGTGTCTGCTCTGACCCAGGGTCTGGAAGAGCACTTCCTTGGTTTTCGAGGAATATGGTTGGATGCTGCTGCATGGAACTGATGGTGCTCTGCTCCTGAAGGGGATGTTACCTCTGTGTGCTTTCCCTGCCTTCCTCCAGCCTATCTGGTGATTTAAAACCAGCTTTTTTGTAATTTGTTGGCAAATAGCCTTTGTCATTTTCCTTCCTTGTTACATCCTAAGCATGGGTTTTGTTACATCATATAAAAGCCTCTTCAATAGAGAGTGTGAAACCGTTAAATAGAATGATGTTCCAGTGATCACAAACAACAGTCTGGGCCTGGCAGACAGCTAGATTGACAGCAGGAGATGCCACCGCCCCAGGGACACTGGTAACTGGGTGTCTTCTTCTCCGTGCAGCATTACTTCACGGTGAACTTCACCCATGAAAACCAGAAGGCCTTGGAGCTGAGGACAGAGGATGCAAAGGACTGTGATGAGTGGGTGGCAGCCATCGCCCATGCCAGGTATGTCGTACCCCGCTGGCCCAGGCAGGGAAGTTGACCTGGCAGCATCTCCTGGCAGGGCCACCCTCCAGGCTGGACCCAGGGATACACCTCCCAGCAGCCATAAGGAACAAGAAGCATCAGGAACAGCATTGTAGCCTCCCACCCTGCTCCAGCCACATGAATGCCTCTTGTAGTATGAGGGGAACCTAGTGTGATTTGTTTCATTGCAGGGTTTTATGACTACCAAAGTGTAAGGCCTCCCAGGTCCTAACCCAGATACAGCCATTAATATGCTACATGGCCAGAAACAAGTTCTGTTTTCTCTTTGAACCTTAGTTTTCTTGCCTAGATACTGAAATTCTCTATACCTCTCTGAGATTTGACCTACGCCTCCCCTGCCCTCAGCATTCCATGCCCTTCTGGAGGGAGACTACCTGGACCAGGTGGAGAGAAACATGCAGCAGAAAAAAGGGCCTGCAAGCTAGGCTCCTTATTGGGTCCTGGGAAGGATGTATTTGTGGGCAGAGATGTGGGCTCAGGACTAATAGTCCCTGGCAGAGCTGAGTACCATCAGGGGCAGCAGGACCCAGACTTACCCTCTGGACAGATGATGCTGCTGTGTCTGCCTTCCCACAGAATGTTTGTTCCCAAGGGCTGGGACCAGGTATAGTACTATTCTTTGCATTCCCAGGGACTTCAATAAAAGCACAGAAAAGGTGTTCAGCAAACAGTGTTGGAGGAATGCAAAGATGAGCAGATGGATGGAGGGTAGATGCAAGACAAGGTGTTGAGTTTATATATCAGAGATGAATGATGGAGGAGTGGAGGAGTTGGATAATCTGTGGATGAATGTTGAAAGTGTAGGTGGAGAATGGATGGGTGGGTGAGTAGGTGGATGGATGGATGGGTTGATCAATGGATCAACTGATCTCAGGGCCCTTCCTTAAACCTTGAATCAGGCCAGTTGATCAGAAGCTCTTATTATGACCATAGCAATGACCTTGCCCTAAGATCAGGCCATTTCTACTTCTGTTCTCAAGGAGTATCCTATCTTAGCTATGGAAATTAGGTTCTAACACATGAAGCAGAGACAGAAATGAGTGCTTCCCAGGCATTCTCCCAGAGATATCACAGTCTAGAAAGGAAGACATCAAGCACATGTGCACTAGCTCTGGGGCATCAAGGCTGGGCTAAGTACAAACCGTATGAGAGAGACAGACCTACAGACATTACTTTCATCTTCAGGGAAATGGGGGAATCTGGAGAAGGTGAAAATAAGGTAATATTTGGCATAAGTGGAGGACTGAGGAACAGATATAATGCATTTAAATGTATGCATTTCAAAAACACCATTTCTAAAAACCCTTTTATTTGAAGCACTGGTACAGGAAAGATAAATCCAGAAATAACAAGGAAACAAAGTTTGGGTGTCAGAAAGTATAAGAGGTTGAACAGCCAAGTGGCGTTAGTCCATAATTGATCTGGAAAGCCCTGCTGAGAGGTTTGACCTTTCCTCTGTGAACAATGGGGAGCTATCGAGGGTTTTACACCAGGGGAGTAACATGATCAGAGCTGTAATGCATAATAGAAATTGCTGCAGTTGTTGAGGGTTGGATTGAGTAAAGAACAAAGTTCAGAGGGAGCAGGTGGACCTCAGTCTCCCCAGCATCAAATGAACCAATAACAGAGTTACTTTGAAGGTCAAAACCCCTCATGTGAAGGTCAAATGAAATTATGTACATGGAGGGACTTTTGGAATTACAATTTGTTATGCAATCTTATAACTAGGGCTACATTGATTTAGAAAATCAATTAATACAAACATTTTCCAGAGACAGTGAAACACCAAAACCTATATGGTAGAATGATTAAAATCACAAAGACTAGAAACACCAAATGTTGGAGAGGGGCAGGAACTACCTTAACTCTGAGTACTGTAGGGGCGTGAAACAGCACAACCAACCTGGAACACTGTTAGGCTGTTGCTTAAAAAGTTAAATATAGATTGACTCAATTACTCAGCAATTACTCTTCTTGGTGTTTATCCAAGAGAAATGAAAAATGCCCACAAAAAGTCTCATCCACAGATGCCCTTAACAGCTTTATGCACAGCAGGGCAAAAACTAGAAGTAGCCACAGCGTCTATCAACAGGAAAAGGTATAAACCAACCTCAGTACTTCATCCAATGGAATACTGCTGAGCAATAAGAAGGATCAGCCAAAATTACATGCAGGAAGATGGATGAGTTCCAAAATGAGTACACTGAGCAGATATAGAAAAATAATGAATGCTATGAGAGTCCAGTTATATAAAATCTTAGATCAGGCAAAACTGGCCAGAAGTGATAGAAATCAGAACAGGAGCTGGTTCTGGAGTGGGGCCTGCCTGGGCTGGCGTACAAGAGGACGAGAGCACGAGGGCTGGAAATTCCCTTTGTCTTGATTAAGGTTTATGCATTTATCAAAATTGATCAAACCTGGGCTGGGGATTTAGCTCAGTGGTTCCACTGCCTGCCTTGCAAGCACAAGGTCCCGAGTTTGATCCCAGGTACCAAAAAAAAAAAATTGATTGAACCATGTGGTTAAGATATGTCCTTTCCATGAGAAGTGCATTAAACCTTAAATTTTTTAAATGAATAATATATATTTCAGAGAGAACGTTTTAATTTTCTCTTGGTGCATAACAGATTACCACAGACTAATCATCTTGAAATAACATCCCTTATTCCACAGTTCCTTGAGTCTGCAGTCTGGGGTCAGCTGAGGTTTCTGCTCAGGTCTCCCGAGGCTGAAGTTAGGGACTACACTGCTGTCTGAAGGCTCTGGGGAAATCACCCCCAGGCTGCTTCCTGTGTTGGGCAGGATCAAACCCTCGGGGGTGCCAGCTGCCTAGCTGCTTCCTTCCACCCATACCCCTTCCATGTAGGCTTCTTTACCCCTAAGCCGGCAGCTTTCCAGCCCCAGACATCTCCCACCAACAGAGAGCTTGTGCCCACATAGACCACCTTCCTGTCACCACATCAGCACCACCCAGCACCTAGAGCAGAGGGCTTGAGTTTGAGCAGGCACCCAGTGTGTGGCAGGAAGGAAGACTTAGGGCCACACCAGGATATGCCCACTCCAGAGAGGGGCCTGAGGTCACTAAACTGGAGCCTTGTTCCCAGTGGCAGCAGGACAGTGACAATGAGATTCACATACCTGTGGCCCGCCCAGCCCCATAGCCTGACAGATGTGTGTGTCCTTCCTGCTTTACCCCTAGGGAGAGTCACTGGGTCCGCATGTGGCTGATGTGGACCCTGAGACCCAGGGTCACGTGAGGGCCCCTAGTCCTGGCTCCCAGTGAGCACTGTGTGACTTCAAGTCAGGCAGCTCCAGCCCCGCAGGCAGACAGAAGGAAGAGGGCACAGCTCCTTCTCCACAGCATCAGCTCAGCCTCCTCTGGAACCAGGTGCCAGTGGTCAGTGGTCTTTGGGCTTTGCTTGCCAAATCCTGCCAGTCCGCCAGCCTCAGAGCGTCTCTTGTGGGGGAAGGCACAGTGATGATCGTACATAAGGAAATCTGAGTCACCTTCCCTGGGATACACATCACCCAACCTGGTGGCGCTGGCTTTGAGGGAGGTACCCTCACCAGAGGAGCTAGCCAGGACTAGAGGGGCACTAGGAACCGTGAGCTCTGTGACCTCAAGCCTCCCATACTGCATGTGTGACCACATGAGACAGTGAAGGGTCTTCTGGCTCTCTGAGAGCAACCTGAGCGTTAACTATTTTCACAGACATGTTCTGTGTACAGATATGACCATTGCACTCATGTGGACTAAGCCAGTGTTCTCCCGTAGAGCCTCCGGTGTGTGTGTTGCAGCTGTAAGCCGGGCAGGCAGTGTGGCTCATAGTCTGCCTTCTGGAGAGGAGCGCATCATCCTGAACCTGCTACCCACTTTTTGAGATTGGAGACCATCCTCCCAGCCAGCCCCATTCTAGCTCCCACCTGGACAATGACCACCTGGTTTTTCAGGCTCATTGCTTCTTGACTTGACCTCAGTTTTTCCATTTATTAAATGGAACCATCAGTCTTCCATTGTCCCTGAGTTTCCTTCTGGTTTTGCCTGCATGGGTCTGTTCTCCGGGGGGGCGGGGCAGAGGCGAGAATGGCGGTGACAGAAGGGGGTGATGGGGGAAGTGCTGGGAAAGGAAAGGGAAAGAAAGGGGAGGGAGAGGACAGGTGGCCTGCCACCTGCGACATCTCCTGTTCCAAGGGTCAGGGCACTGCCATTAGTAAGACCAGCCCAGGAGGAAGAGGAGCTTTCAAACCAGGCGTGATGTATGGTGGGTGATGAAAAGCTGGCTCCTCCTTGCTCTCAGCTGAATTTCATTTGCCAGTGAGGCCAATTAAATCTCTTTAAAAGTTGGAAAAACTTTAACACTTGATACTCATTTTCATAAAAGAAATTTTAAAAATTCCCATCATAATCAGATAGTGGCTGCAATCCAAAGAATCTCTCTCACAGCCTGCTACCTGTTTTTAGAGGCAGGTGGCAAGCAAGATTGGAGATTTTCTTTCTTACTGGTTCCCTAGGGCCAGGCCCCTGGTTTGCTGGGCCCCTGCTTTGCCCTAGCCCCAGCTGGCCTGCACCTGGTTGGCACTTCTCCCTGGCCCCACCCGCAGGTACAGCCTCCTGCCCTGGTCGCAGACCCTTCCGTATTGCAGTCACTTCCCACCACAGCCTCCTGGGATCTTGTCCCCAGCCTGGGGCTGTGGGGAAGCTGCCCTTGGCCCGTCTTGCTTAAAAAGTCACAGAGTAGGAGGAAGGAAGCAAGTTGCAGACAGAAGTTCTACCTGGGCAAAGCCCTAGAGCGAAGAGCAAGTGTGTGTGTGTGTGTGTGTGTGTGTGTGTGTGTGTGTGTAAGGAAGAAAAAGAGACAGAGAAATGCAAGCTGCACCGGTGGAATGACTGAAGGCCAAGTGTGAGCTGTGGGCTTGAGGGGAGCTGGAGCGATCACAGGGCTGGGAGGCAGCATCTGAGCCATGTGTCCTCACACAGCTACCGCACACTGGCCACCGAGCATGAGGCACTGATGCAGAAGTACCTGCACCTCCTGCAGATCGTGGAGACTGAGAAGACAGTGGCCAAGCAGCTGCGGCAGCAGATCGAGGATGGGGAGATCGAAATTGAGCGGCTGAAGGCAGAGGTGACTGGGGCTGGGACTCGGAGCTGGGCTGCCTGGGGACTCTAAGCACAGGGTGTGGCGGTGCTGGCGGAGTGGGCCAGGGCTGTGCTGGGTGAGGTTCAGATCCACCTTACTGTCGAGGGCAGGTAGAGCGCCAGTGTGGTCCCTTCCCTGTGCTGCTGTGAGGGCTGCTCCTTCAGTCAGTGGGCAGCAGCCTCCCTCCACAGGGCACAGCCAGGCCTCCTGGGTCAGGATCTGCACGTCCACAGTGCCCCAGATGGAAAGCACTGGCCATCTGTCTGTCCCTCTGTACCCTTCCTGACCTCTACTCAAGAGCTCATGGAGGGTCTGATGGCCTCTTGCCCCACCCCACACAAGCTTAGAACAGTCTGGACACATCACACAAAGGACCACAGGCTGAGCCAAGGAGGGGAAAGTGGAAACACAGACTCCTGGGTCCAACAGCTGTAGGATTTGCGGGGTTCTGGACATGGGATAATGCAAGGCCACTCAGGGCCTGGGACGTCTGCCTTCCTTTTCCTGACCTGCTGTCCCCACTCATGGAAGACAGGCTACACTCAGCTCCAGCCTCTGGCCTCCTCTGATGGCCCAACCAGGACCCCTCAGCCCCAGATCAGGTGGGCAGGAGGGACAGCTGCAGCTAGGACAGTGATGGCTGTCACCTTGTCCTGTGCCACGGCCCCCCTGGGCCCCACAGAGGGTAGGATGTGCAGCTTCCCAGCTGCCTGGGCAGAGGGTGGCCAAGGTTTCCAGGAACTGGTCACCAGCGGGGAAGGGAGGGGGGCACAGCGGGAGAACATGACCTCTCAGGCCCCGCTTGAAACAGCTCAGCGATTATTAAGCAGATCTGGGTGTTGGCCACAGAGCTGAAGCACCAGGCACGGGGCTTTCTGTGCAGGGGACCCCACCTCACATCAAGGGGCCTGCACTGCCTGAGTGGCCAGGCATCCAAAGCCGCCCTTCCTCCTCGTTCTGCAGCAAAACTCTGAACTCAGGAAGATCACCCTGGAGTGTCCCATTCAACAGTTCCAGGTTCAGCATCTCTTCCCATAGGTGCCTGACATCCTCCTTCAGGTCCCCAAACTGCCCTGACAGGATCAGTCACCTGCAGCTCACAGGGGAGTAGAGAGCCCAAGTCACCTGCCCGGCTCCCACAGCACAGGTCTGGGACCCAGGTCTCCTGCCCACTCAGCCATCTTCCCACCAGGCTCCAGGCCACCTTTGGGCCTTTGCACATGCCAGGCTCCTTCTCACCCCCACACTTGTTCTGGTGGAATCCTGCCCAGTGCAAATGCCAGAGTGTGCTCTTGCCAGCTGCCCCCCAGACTCCACGAGCAGAGCCTGGCGGGAACTTCGTGATGCAGGGCAATGTCCATGGTCACTCTTTCCCTCTCCCTAGCAAGAGCAACTGCTCCCTAAGGGCTTATGGGATTCAGGCTCTCTGCTATGCACCAGGGAGTAGAAATTGCTACCTCTCGGGTCTAGTGGTGGTACAGTGTGATGTGAGCCCAGATCAGGAAGTGAGGTGTCGCCCAGGAAGGCAGTGTGGGCTCACTATGCACATGGGCTCAAAAGCCTGGGGGCCATGGGCCAGAGAAGGAGCACAGTGCAGGCAGAGGGCAGGGGAAGATTTCTGCCTGGAGTATGTCTCCTTCCCACAGACACACACACACACACACACACACATGTGCGCATGTGCACAAGCGCACACACACACACACCCTGCAGGGCCAAGGGCCCCTGTTCTCCAGGAAGACAGGGTGAGTAGATCTCATGCTGAGGAGAAACTATCAGGGCTGCACAGGGCAGGAGAAGCAGGCAAGGAGCAGTGACTCCAGTGGCACAGACCCAGGTTTTGATATCAGAGCTGGAGGGACCAGGAGACACCGAGGCCATAGAAAGGAAGGGCCTTGCCTCAGCGCTGGGGCTGCTGTTCAGTCCCACTGGTGCTTGACCCACCCCATGACTCGGTAGATGATACCCCAGCATGTTAGGAGGGACAGCGTCACCTGGATGGCCCCACACTCTCAGGTCCACCCTCCTCTGGTGCCACATAAAAGCCCCCAAGTCACATCCTGCATATTCCCAAGGGTTCCTGGGGGCTTTGGTACCTTTGACCACTGCTCGCTTCCCAGCTCTCCTGACCCCTCCAGTGGCTCTCCACAGCAGCAGCTGTATCGCCTCAGTCTTTGCACGCCCGACCCCTCAGGTGGTCACTGCCTGGATCTGTCAGGATAGGCTGGGTCATAATGCAATAACGAACAGCCCCAAATCCTAGTGGCTTAAATCCTTAAGACAGCAAAAGCAGGCTGGGGATTTATCTCGGTGGTTCTGCTGTCTGCCTCGAAAGCGCAAGGACCCGAGTTCAATCCCTGGTACCAAAAAAAAGACAGCAAAGGCAGGTGCCTCGGTCGCTGTCCTTCTGCTGTGGTTCTGCTGCAGACTGTGCACCATTGGAGCCTCACTCAGACCCAGGGACATGGGCGGAAGTTCACCCAGCACACGGCAGGGATGGAATGAAATGGGCCAAGTCCACAGCATTTGCACTATGAGAATTGGCAGATGCTCTGAGTCTGAATTTCTTTCCAGGGAGCTGGTCATAGCGTTCACATCTCGCTCTTGTCTGCATTGTTTTCGTGACCAGACATAATTTACAGGGCCAGGTGCAAAATAAAATGAGGTTGGGGGCTTCCGAATTTAGATAGCAGCGGAGGTTTAAAGCAGACATGGCTTCTTTAAGATTTAAAATAAAAGTCTAAAGATGGCAGCCTCCATAGCGAGGGGTGCCCTGGCACTGCGTACGAATTTTACTCGGCAGGTTGCTTTTGTCCGGAAAATTCCTTGGACTGCAACAGCCAGTGAGCTGAGAAAACACTTTGCTCAGTTTGGCCATATACGAAAGTGCATTCTTCCTTTTGATAAAGAGACTGGCTTTCGTAAAGGTATGTGTTGGATTTACTTTTCTTCAGAAGGCAGTGCAACATGCAAATCACGTAGTTGATGGAGTAAAGGTCCACATTCAAGTTCAAAAACCAAAAATTTTGCAAGGGGATCAAACATCTGAGGAAGAAAAAGATTTCTGAGATGATTAAACCCATTAAATAAACACAAAACAGAAAAAAAAGATTTAAAATAAAAACCATCTTGGAATCTATTTTGCAGACAAATGTTGGTGTAGAACCCCAATATGAAAAACAGGTAAAGGAGAAGGCTGCTCTTGGGGCCCTGACTCTACCCTGCCAGCTCCAGCCTCAGCAGGGCTGCCCTCCGAGGACAGCCCTGGTCCCTACTCCCCTGCCATCCTCCACCTCCAATCATATATCACACCCTATGCCTTTGGGCACATCATTTCCTCTCCTCTAATTCCCTCCCTCTTAGACTACCTTTTGGACTCTTACATATCCTTCAAAACTCCTAGAAACCCGCTGCCACTTCCAGTGGGTACACATCTCTGTTCTGGACCTGCCTCGTGGGATCTAAGTTATTTCTGTGGCTGTCTGGCTGCTTCTCAGTGGTAACTCCAGGGACTCCCCGGGGGAAGGGTCTGACTTACCCACCCCCAGCTGTGTCCCTAGGGCTCGCACAGTGCTCAGCAGAGAGCTGTCAGCATGTGCTGGTGGGTTGGCATGAAGGAGACAGAGGTGGGCCCCTGCTGGGCTTGGGAAGGACAAGAGGGAAGCACAAGGAAGGAGGAAGAGCTGAGCTATGTGACAGCACTTTGAAAAGAAACACGAAGGTCTTTAGTAAAAGCTGGGTTTCTAACAAAAAGAAACAAATCTGGATTAATTCCTCTGTGAAGCCCTAACTAAACTCGCCCAGTTTAAAATATGCATGGGGTGAGGGTGGGGGGAGCACACAGTGCCCAGAGGGAGGTAAGCGACGTTTGCCTGATGAGCAAGGAAAGCCACTGGGTGGGGGGAGCAACCAGGACCCCAGGCACTGAGTTAAGTGAGGAGACAGGCAGCCACACTGGGTGGCCCAGCAGGGTTAGGTTCCCAGGGCACCACTGATGGGCTTGGGTGCCAGCCAAACACACCAGGGTGCTAGGAAAGTTCCTTTCCAGCAGGGACCTGCCAGAGTGAGAAAAAGGCTGCCGCCCCAAGCCCCGGGTTCAGCTCCCACCACCATCCTGGAACTGCTCCAAGCAGGAGAAGGTGGCAGCCCTAGACGTTTGCAGGGCTCCCAGGCTCCTGACTCTCTGGAGCTTTGCCCACCCATTCTGATCTTTAAATAAAGACCTCAACACTGCCAGCATTGCCTGAGTGTGGAGCGTCACAGCTGACCTAATTGCATCTATTTTTTGCCCTGATCCCTGCTGAGTCGATGTCCTGGAATGCATGTCTCTGAGAAGACATCATCAGTTTTAGGTACAGACTCCACCCCCCAGCACACACACACCCCCCACACACACCCATCATCTCCCTAAAGAGAAAGGGAGTGCTGTGTGCAAACCCCAAAGCTGCAGAGCAAACAGACTGGCGTTTAGGTGGAAACATCAGGCTGAGGGGCATGTGCATCTCCGAACTGTCTGGAGCTCGTGTGTGTATGTGTGTGCATACGTGTGTGTGTGTGTGTGTGTGTGCGCATGCACGCTCTTTAGCCCTTTAGACCACAGATCAAAGAGTCAATCTTTATTTCTCTGTGCAGGCATTCTCAAAGGATCACAAAAAGGGCAGTGTGGAGAGGTGAGAAGAGGCAGACAGAAGAGAAGAGCCATTTCCACGCTGAATGCTTCTGTTAGATATTTTCAGCCACTCTCCTGCAAAGGCCAGGGTAATTTTAGCAACCAGGGAGTGGAGAGCAGGCAGCTGCTCCATTTTGCTCTCCCAGCACTCAGTGCGCTCCATTGTGAGCACCCATTCACGCTGTGGTTCAGCAAGTGGCCTTCCAGGGACACAGCCACGTGTTCCGTGCAGCTCTGTGGCTGTGTTTGTAGAATCCCGAGCTGCTATCTTTAGACGTGTGGGGCTTAGTGACGGCTGTAGTTTCTTTTGGTTGTGGGTTTTGTGGCTGCTGTTGCTCTGATTTTTTTTAGAATTATTTATGTGGCTGATGAGCACATTTTGGAGTCCCAGCCCCGTGCCTGGCACACCAGGAGCACATTCATGAATGAAACAACGCAGACCTCTCCCTGGAACCCACCACAGAGGGGAGAGAAAACTGGCTATTCCAGCATTCTGGGGAAACGCCCTGTGCTACAATGCTGGACATGAGTCAGGGACTTGCAGAGTGTGGACAGGCTGGACAAACCCCACCCAGGCGATGCTCTCTGGCCTGTCCACTTCAGGGGGCCCCAGGAGCCCCGGCTGCAGCACACCCTATGCTGCCCCTTCTCCTGGGCACTGGAGCTAATTCTCATTCTTACAGCTGTGCCAACTTCCGTGACTCCCATACCAGACATGCAGAGATTTTTAGGACTGCTTGCATATCATTTCGAGGGCTGTCTTGTTTTCCAAGGCCAGTAGTGTCTGAGATGTGCTTCCCCAGGGCTGTCACTCCAAGAAGTGCTGTGGGGTGGCCCAGGGAGGGGAGAGACACCTGCTCCGATCTGATTTATCCCCAAGTATGATTCTACTTGAAAAAATAGACTACCTAAATATCCATTAAGAGGTGAGTGCTTGGGGCCAGGATTTAGCTCAGTGGTTCCGACGCCTGCCTTGCAAGCGCGAGGTCCTGAGTTCAATCCCCAGTACCAAAAGAAGAGTAAATTTGGGCTAGAGATTTAGCTTAGTGGTTCTGCCGCCTGTCCCACAAGCATAAGGACTGCAGTTCGATCCCCAGTTACCAAAAAAAAAAAAAAAAAAGAAATGAGATATAAAGGAGGGGAGTTAAAACTCATACAATAATGGAACAGGGTTCAGCTTTATAAAAGATAATTCCAGGCTGAGGATTTAGCTCAGTGGTTCTGCCGCCTGCCTTGCAAGTACGAGGTCCCAAGTTCGATCCCCAGTACCAAAAAAAAAAGATAATTCCAACACAGGCTACAGAATGGACAAACCTCAAAGACATGACGTGAAATAAGCCAGACACAGAAAGATCCTGTCTGACTCCATGTAGGTGAGGCCCCTGGCGTAACACTCAGACACAGGAAGTAGAACAGTGGTTGCCAGGGGCCAGAGTCAGGGAGTATGGAATTATTATGGTTTTGTGGGTACAGTTAGGGTTTCAGTTAGGAAGACACAGAAGTTCTGGAGCTTTTTTTTTTGGTGCTAGTTGTACCACATTGTGTATATACTGAATGCGACTGAACTGTTCATTTAAAAATGATTAAAATGTAAGTTTTATGTTAAGTGTATTTTACCATGACCAAATTTAAGAAATAAAGGGCTGATGGTTTGGAGAATAGGGGGCAGAATCACAGACTGAAGCCACACCTGCATGGAAGGACCTCATCTACGCTCGCTGTGGGCTGCACCCCAAGGTGGGCTGTCCCTGTGTTCTGCACATCGGAGTGCACCTGGCTTCATGCCCCGGACACACAATTCAGGAGGTGTGTGCCACACCACCAGCCCTCGGGAGCAGGGGGTATTGCCTGTGCCCTGTGCTGCCAGCCACAGGCCATGCCACTCTCTGCTGGCTACTGACCTGTGTCTCTGTTGCAGATTGCTTCCCTACTGAAGGACAATGAACGCATCCAGTCCAGCCAGACTGTCACCCCCAATGATGATGACAGTGACATCAAGAAGATTAAAAAGGTGGGTGCCGCTCTCCAGCCAGCCTTCCTTAGAGCATCCTCAGCAGAGAACCAGTGGGTGGGCAGTGTCCCCAGGGCAGGCCACACTCCCATCCCTGTGGCTGTAGACAGACCCACCAGCCCCTGAGTGTCAGGGGTGACACTTCGACAGGCATTTCTTCTGGTTACCCTGTGAGCTAGGATGGTACAACCCCATTTTACAGAGAAGAAAACTGAGGCTCCACCAAAGGAGGAGTGGATGGTGGACCCAGGCTTTGGAGTCTTAGTGAGCTTCCTCCACAAGCCCCACAGCCTTATCCAGACTCCCTGGCCACTGCCCTCACCTGTGTCTGCTGTCATGTGCACACCTCTCACAGCTGCCCAAGGCCCTCGAAGAGCCCAGCAGCAGCCAGGCCTTCATAAGAGCCCCACTACTCCTACCCCATGAGTACTTCCAGGGGCAGACAGCACAGGAAGTGCCGGGGACCTGCCCAGAGAGCAGATGGACCAGAGTCCAGCTAGTTGAGATGCCAGAGGACTGGTGCCACCCAGACCAGAGGCTGCAATGGTGTCCCCAAAGCCAAGCCCAGCCTGCTGGTGTGGGGAGCTTCAGCCCACACGGGGCGGGGGGGGGGGGGTCCTTATCTTTTTAGTGCTTTAAAAGCTTCACCAAACATCTGGATTTCTGGCTTCTCAAAAATAGAAATAGCTAACCTTCATTAACCACTTCCCATGTGCCACACACTATTCTAGGAGTTGATGAAGATTATGTGGCTTCTCACTAAAACCCTCTGAGGTTTTATCATTATCTCCATCTCATGTTTGGGGAGGCCACGCTTCACATAGACACATAACTCACCCAAGTGTTCACAGCTGAGTATCTTCAGAGCAACACAAGCTCTGGCAACAGCTCTAGGCCCAAGCCCTGGGTCACTGGGACACACTGCATCCTGAGAAGCCCCCAGCAGGAGTGCCGCTCTCGCTTTCCTCCAGCCAGCCCAGGTCTCTCAGAACCTGCCAGCCAGCCGGGTCTTGGTCTGGGCCACGTCCTGCATCCTTTCTGGTCGGGCATTTGTGAAGGCCCAACTGACACCAGCCTCTACCTCCCATCGCTCTGTTCTCAGAGGCTCCAAGGCTCCCCCTGTGGACAGACCCTTCCCGTTTCAGAAGTGCTGCTGGTCTGAAGCAGGCCCGATGCCGTCACACACAGCCCACTTAGTAGCAAATGCCCAGGGGCCTGGCACAGGTGCCCCATGACCCTCCCTGTGCCATCTGCACACAGCCCAGCCAGGACAGCAGGGAGTCAGCCTAAAACACGTGTGCATGTCCGTATAGGTATCAAGGCCCTTTCCCAAGTTCCTGCCAACTCCAGGCCACTCCAAGCAGCCCAACTCCAAGGACACGAGGTCAAGCACCTGTGCTTGCTTCCTCCACGTCAGGAGGCTGCTGGCAAACACTGGGCTCAGACGCTGCCAGTGAGGCCCAAGAATGAGTTGAACTAATTTGCCAAGTGCCATTCAGTATGACCATCACCTTCTCTCCAGGCCAGCTTTAATGGAACCCTCTGGGCTTCTAGGCAAGTCTTTAGACACAGTGAGGGGCAGCCAAGCCTGGCATAGCCCCAGCACCCTCTCTCCTGAAGCCACCTCCCATGTGGAGACTCAGGGCCACAGTCTTCCTTCTTCAGAGAGTGCTTCCAGAGCAACCCAGAGATCTTGTTGAATTGCAGAGGTGTGGAGCAAGCCCTGCATCTCTAACAAGCTCTCCAGAGATGCTGTTCTAGTCTGGTCCATACTGAGTCTGGCCATTGTCTCTTTGGCCCCATTTGATAAGTGAGAAGTGTGGCTGAGGGGCCCAAGAACATGCTCAGAATCAGGCAGGACTCAGAGCCAGGCCAATGTCGGGCTTCGTCCCTAAGGCTGAGTGGTGGAGTGACAGAGCCCTGGTCCCTGCCTTCAGGCATGCAGCTATCTAATATGAGCCTCTCTGCAGGTGCAGAGCTTCCTGCGAGGCTGGCTATGCCGGCGGAAGTGGAAGACCATCATCCAGGACTACATCCGCTCACCCCATGCAGACAGCATGCGCAAGAGAAACCAGGTGGTTTTCAGCATGCTGGAGGCCGAGGCTGAGTACGTGCAGCAGCTGCACATCCTCGTCAACAACTTCCTGCGCCCACTGCGCATGGCGGCCAGTTCCAAGAAGCCACCCATCACACATGATGATGTCAGCAGCATCTTCCTGAACAGGTGAGCATCTGGGGCTGCCCGGGAGGAAGGGGCTGACTGCATGGTGACATGAGCCCCGATCCAGTCGCTACCAAGGGCCACATGCCACTCAGTTTGAGCATCGCCTAATGAGGTGATGAGGAAGCTGAGCCCCAGAAAAGAAGGAAGTGGCGTGAGGTCACAGGGACAGGTTGGGGGCCTGAGCAGGAGTACAAACGGAGGCTCCATGGTGTCCATTTAAACTAGTGACTCTCAGAAGGGCTCCTTAGTCCTCAGGAGACACTCAGCAGGGACAGTCTTGGCTGTTGTTACTTGGGGAAGCTCAAGGCCAGGGGTACTGCTAAACATCCTGTGATGTGCAGGGTGGGACAGACAACTACTCCACCCAGAATGTCAATACTGCCTCGGTTGAGGAGTCTTGGTTTCAGTATTTAAGAGTCACAATTTGTCTTCACCCGTTTTGTGTTGCTGTAACAAAATATCTGAGGCTGAGAACTTTATTTTTCTAAGAGTTTACTTTGCCTTCTGGTGTTGGAGGCCTAGCAGCACAGTGCAGCACTGACTACCACTGAGGACCTGAGGGGGATGGCTCCCCGGGCAGGGCCTGTGTGAGAGAAGCAGGAAGATGAGGAGGCTGCTCTTCTCCACCTGCTGTGCCTGCTGGTCCTTGAGGGACCAGCCCTCCCCTGTGAGACCCAGGCACTGCGAAGCCACATCTGTCCCTGCCCTGGGGCTTCATGACCTTCTGTCCCCCACCGCTTGAGATGTCATCTTGGGACCAGCTTCCTCATGGTCTGGCAGGGACAAAGCACAGCCTAAGTCAGGCCTCACACCATGAAATGAAGTTGCTCTTTCTATCCTGGGGGCATCGCAGTGACCTGCAGTCCCAGTTCCAGTTTGGAGAGCTCCCCTCTTGGGCTCTGCTCTGCGTCAGGCTCTGCCCCTCAGGGAAGCAGTGTTTCCCGGACAGTGGCTCTGAGTGCCTGTGGTTGTGGTGCTTCGGAAGCCTGAGCCAGTGGCCTCTGGCTGTCACCCTCTTTTTGAATCATTTACTTAGCAAGCAGTTTAGAGGAGCTTTTGGTGGGTGATAAAATTGTAAACACTGGATAAAAGCAACAAAAATGAAGACTATGAGCAGTGTTATTTATAAATGATTCATGGTGTGTCCTGGATGTTCATTCTACTGTGTTTCTTTTAAAATAGTCATCGCTTAGTGATTTCATGATCCCTGACCAGCCCTCGGTCACCTTCCCTCCCAGTCACCTTCCCTGTAGCCCCAACCAGGGTAGTGAGCAGGTTTGAGGCACCTAGGAAAAATGGAGAGTCTGCACCTGGTGGGGGGACTTGGGGCCCCATCAAGTGAGTGGGCTGCAGAGGCTGGAAGCCATGCAGGCAGAAATGTGGATGTGATGTCAGAGTGGGGGCAGAGGAAAGAGGGCAGAGACAGGCAGAAGGGAAGCTCTGGCCTCGTGGGACCTAGACACTGACTCACTGGTCCTCATAGGTTGCTTTTTAATATACCTGTGAACTCAGTTCTTAAACATGAAGTAAATACTCTTAGACATTCACAAAACAGAATAAGTACTTTCTTTTTCTGAAGTTCGGTTATGTACTTCCAGAAAGCCCAGATAGGGCCTGTAGACTTGGGTGCCTGGAATTTGACTGTGTTCCTTCCGGCTAAACCCTGGGCAGCTGCACTGGGCTCAGAGGGTCTGTGGGCGGGGCGGGGCCCAAGGACCTGCATGCCAGTGCAAGGCAGGTGCTGCAGTGCTGCCCACCAGCTGCATGGGGACCAAGGCCGGAGATGAGCACGGGTGTCGGCCACAGCCCCACAAGGAGAAGACTTGGAAGGCATTGCACAGTCTGTGTGGTTGACTCCTCTGGCAGGTGAGGCCCTGGCTGCAAACCTTCAATGACTTTTAGTTGATTATCATCACTAAGAAAGCTCAATGTCTTTTTGTGTGTATTTATTTTTCCTTAATTTTGTTAGATTGCATTGCTTGATCTTCAGTAGAATTCTTTTAACTCCAATTCTTTGGTTAGAAAGATTTATGCTAGCTTACAGAACCTGTTCAAAAGTTGTTTGAAAAAAGTCAACAGGATTTTATGTTTCATCTTTTAAGAGCTGAATGGATCAGCTTGGATAATTTCAAACGAGAATAGACGGGAAGGGCAAGGGCGTTCATCTTCTAGTGAAGCTGGCATTTTCAACAGTGACCTCAAAAAGAAAGCGAAACACAGTTTATGGACCCTCCCCAGTAGGGCAGGGAGTCTTCTTCCCCTCCCCAGTTGGTAGGCCAGGGACCCCACACTGATTCAGGTGCAACCAAAGGGCACGGCAGGGCCCTCTGTCCATCCAGCAGACAAGCCAGTCCACCGAAAAGGATTCAAGGAGAGCCGCTGGGTTCCCACCTTCAGGGGACAGCTGAGCAAATGTTTACTAGGAAATGGGACACAAGCCCCACCAGTAGTGTCTGAGCATGATTTTGAAGGACACTTTTACAGGTTGAGAGAACAGCATGTGCAAAGGCCCAGGGGCAAGACTGGGGTTTGGTCCTGGAGGCAGGGAGGGGCCACCAGACATTTCAGGTGGAGAATGTCATGGTCAGTCTGTGCTGGAGGCTCAGCCTCATGGAGGGGACTGAGGAGGCTGTGGCCCTGGAGAGAGGCTGAGCCCCAGGAAACCAGAGCACTGGGCCGAGGTTCCTTCCTGCTAGCCAGAGGCAACGTGTGCCAGAGCCCACTTCCCTGCTGCCTTGTGTGGCAGGTGTTGGGTGGCTGGAGGCTTGTGAAAGTAGAGAGGGAGTGCCAGAAAGGAGTGAGCTCCCCATCTCAGTAAGAACGCAGAATGGTAACCTTCTGTCGGGAACACTGAAGAGGATCATTTATCATGTGCCCTTTATGACCCCCACCTCTGAATCTGTGGTGCTATGGATGGAACTCTCCTCAGGGCCTCCCCAGGCTGGGTCCAGGCCTCCTGGAGCAAGGATCATGTGCACCTTCCACAGCCCTCAGCCTGAGGAGCTCCTCACAGAGCTCCTCACAGAGCTCAGCATGCAGAGCTCCTTGCTCACAATAAAACCCTCGATGTGGCTGGACTTTCAGGGCCAGGCAGATGGGACAGGATCCTGGTCCAGACAGAGCTTGGGACAGAGGTGATCCTCCTCGAGCTGCTCTGCTGCTCTGCTGATGCCCTGCCAGGCCTGTCTCTCCTTCTCCATGCCGGGTCCAAGATCAGCAGAGCCTACCTTAGTGATTGCATTGACTCTGATCAAAATAGTAGCTATCTGATAAACCCTCAAAGCCTCCAAGATACAGACCCCAGAGGTCATCAGAAAAGGCTGGTCCCGGAAGGCTGCCCGCCTCTCAGAGGTGTCCAGGGCCATGTGAGGGCATTCATGCAAAGCATTTTGCACAGAGCCAGCAAATCCCAAGTGCACATAGCAGTGTACCTAGTCCACATTGAATATGAGGCAGACATCCCCAACTCATTTCATACAGCCAGCATTGCCCTCATGTGAAAACCAAAGACATCACGAGAAAGGAAAACTAGCAACCAATTCTCTTGTGAGCACAGATGCAAAATATTTTCAAATTCAATCCAGCAGTGCACGAAGTGGGTAAGACATCCTCACCATGTCAGATTCATCTCAGACATACAAAGCGAGCTTGACATTGAACATCCACTAATGTAACTTACTATCTTGTCTCGGGCCTGGCTCCAGGACCCCGGGGAACACCAAAATTCACAGACACTCAAGCCCCATATGAAAAGGGTGTAGTGCTTCATATAACCTGCTCACATCCTCCTGTCTGTTTTAAATAATCTCTAGATTAATTATAATACCTAATGCCATGTCAAGACTTTGCAAATTGATCTTCATTGTGCTGTTTAGGGAATCATGGCAAGAAAAGGTCTGTATGTGTTCAGTCAGATGCAGCTTTTCCTAAGCATTTTCAATACAGGTATGGTTGGATCTGCCTATGTGGACCCCGGGGGCACAGATGGCACCTGTGTGTCCAGCAGAGACACTGATGGTCCCTGAAGTGCATGCAAGTCAGGTTCAGCCACTGTTCTCATGCAAGGTGGATGGGAAAAGGGATGGGGGCCTCGTGACCACCTTCCCCAGGACACAGCCTCATGGAGACAGCACATCTTCCTTGTCTTAGCCGCTGTACTTCTTGTGAGCATACAGAACAGCTGGAAATATTTTTCCCTCCCTGGCACAACCCCACCAGCCTGCTGCACAACCGCATTCTGTGGGCGACACACTCCTGTGCAGGCCCTGCTCCTCGCCAGCCTCCCTGTCAATTCTCTCTCTCAGAGGTGGCCCAGGAGGCTGGAACCCAGGCTTGGAGAGGGGACAGGATGTGCTCAAGGGTGCACAGTGAGGTGGGGTGGACTGCGGCTTTGCCTGGGGCCCATTCTAGGTTGAGGCTTGTGGTCCCCCTGCTGCTTATTAATCGCAGGCTGGAGTCCTCTCCATGGGCCCATTTTCCGGATGCGTGTGGACCAGCACATCATGGTCTTGTCATGGACTCCTGCTGTGCATGCTCTGGAGCAGGATCCAGGACAGATGCCCCCACCTCCCTGCCTGGACCGCACACAGAGCTCTGGGTACCACACAGAGAGCAGACATGTCGGAACACAGTGCACCCTGACTTGCTTTGGGGTGGAAATGGAGGGCCACAGTAGAAAGGTGAGGCTAATTTGGTGGTTTAGTTCCTGAAGCTCATTAGAAGGAGTCCTGGGGAAGAGAGAGGCTGCCACCAAGGGAGCTGAGCTGCAGAGTGTTAATTTTGTGGTTCTCAGATGGGGAAAGATCTTTGAACTAAACATCTGTGGCAAGTGTTGGGAAACAAGACAATCAGCTCATAGATTTGGGCAAATTCCCTTTAATAAAAACTATGCCCAATCCAGGTATGATGGATGACTCATGCTTATAATCCCAGAACTTTAGGAGGCTGAGGCAGAAAGATCACAAGTTTGAGGCCATGTAACAAGACCCTATCTCAAAATA